TATTTTTCTTTTGTTTCTGATGCTTTTTTTATGTTTTGTTTATTTTGATTAATTATTTTTTGTCTGTTTCCGTATTTTTGGTTGTTTTTTTCTATTTTCTTATTTTTTATCATGTTTTTTTCTTTCGTTTTTCTTATCTTTATCATATTTTTCTGTCGATTTTTTTTTCTTCAGTCTTTTTATTTTCTAATTCATCGGTTTTCCTTTTTTTTTCATTTCCTTTTCCTTTAACCTCTTTTTATCGATCGGATACGTGAGGTTAAATATAGTTCGCGAGTTCTTTGTTGGTTTGTGAATGTTGTTGTTGTTGTTGTTGTTGTTGTTGTTGTTGTTGTTGTCGGTATCATCGCTGTTATTTTTTTCGTCCTCGTTTTTAAGTATGTTTGTGCAGTTTGTTGTTGTTATTGCTATTGTTGTTGCTGCTATTATTCTTGTTATTGTTCGTGTTATTGTTATAGTGAGAATTATTATTGAAATTTTTATTTTCATTATTATTATTACTATTACTATTACTATTTATATTACTATAATTACAGTAATTTTCATTATTATTACTATTATTATAATTGTTGTTCTTGCTTTTGTTATTATTATGAACCACCCATGTTATGTTAGTAATCATTTTTATTCATTTGTCATATTTATCCATAGATATATTTCCTTATGAATTCTAAGAAAGAAAACATACCATTTTCTAAAAAAAGACGAATCTTGTATAAAACATCAAAATATAGAGTATTTTTGAGTTTGCCTTTACATATAAATTGTATTTATTCATGAGGGAAAGACCTTCTTAATGTGGTGTATAATCTGAAAGAAAATAATTCAAATTTCCATATTTATTCCTTATCGAGCTTGCCACTTTTGCCGGTAGCATTATTTTTATTGCTGTCATCGTCATCGCCGTCGTCATCTTTATCGTCATCGTCATCGTCATCATCATCATCATCATCATCATCATCATCATCATCATCATCATCATCATCATCATCATCATCATCATCATCAACATCAACATCAACATCATCATCATCATCATCATCATCCATCATCCATCATCATCATCATCATCACCATCTCATCGTCATCATTCTCATCCACCATCATCATACATCATCATCATTAATCATCATCATCATCATTATCATTATCAATCAAATAGTCATAATCATAATCGCCAATAGAGAAAGATAGAGAAAGTGAAAGAGAGAGAAAGAGAAAGAGAAAGAGAGAGGGAGAGAGAGAGAGAAAACGAGAGGAAGAGGAAGAGGAAGAAGGAAGAAGAGAGTTTACACAAGGGTCATTTCAGCTTGGCAATACTTCACTCTCGTGCATGGTTCTGCTTTCCTGATGACGTGTTTGTTCGCCTGAAAATTCTCCTCTCTCTGTCTTTGGGTTTCCTTGTTTGGCCGTGTATTTTTATGCTGTTTTTGTGTGTGTGTTTGTCTTGTGTTTGTATTTCCTTGTTTTTTTTGTGTATTTCCTTGTTTTTTTTGTGTTTTTTGTGTATTTTTTTTTTTGTTATTTTTAGTGTATTTCCTTGTTTCATTTTTGTTATTTATTTTGTTATTTTTAGTGCATTTCCATGTTTTTTTTCTTTATTTTTTGGTTATTTATTTCGTTATTTTTAGTGTTAGATTTTGGCAAAGGGTTCAGCGCGTGCACCGGACACACAGGCTCTCGGGAATGTGCGCGGGTTTGAACTGGCTTGGCTTGGCTTGGCTTGGCGTGGCATGACTTGGTTTGGGCTTTGACTTTGGCTTGGCTTGGCATGACTTGCTTTGGGTTGGGTTGGGTTGGGTTGGGTTGGCATTTGGTTTGGCTTGGCTTGGCATGAGTTGGTTGGCTTGGCGTGGCTTGGCTTGGCTTGCGTGGCATTGGTTTGGCTTTGGCTGACTTGGTTTGGGCTTTGGCTTTGGCTTTGGCTTGGTTTGACTTGGTTTGGGTTGGCTTGGCTTGGTTTGGCGACTTGGTTTGGTTTGGCTTGGCTTGGCGTGGCATGACTTGGTTTGGGCTGGCTGGCTTGGCTAGGCGTGACTTGTTTGGCTTGGTTTGGCTTGGCTTGGCGTGGCGTGGCTTGGCATGACTTGGTTTGGGTTTGACTTTGGCTTTGGCTTGGCTTGGCTTGGCGTGGCATGACTTGGTTTGGCTTGGCTTGGCTTGGCGTGGCATGACTTGGTTTGGGCTGGCTGGCTTGCTAGGCGTGACTTGGTTTGGCTTGGCTTGGCTTGGCTTGGCGTGGCTTGGATGACTTGGTTTGGGCTTTGACTTTGGCTTTGGCTTGCTTGGCTTGGCTTGGCGTGGCATGACTTGGTTTGGCTTGGCTTGGCGTGGCGTAGCGTGGCTTGACTTGGTTTGGGCTGGCTTGCTGGGGGTGACTTCTGGGTTTAGGGGGAGGACGGTCATGGAAGTCCTTTTCTTCTGTTTTTTTTTAGTTGGGTCGTTTTCCTCTCCTCTTCTTGCTTTTCCTCCTCTCGTCGCTTTCTATCTTCTCTCCTCT